ATCAGCCTATGCAAATGGCTGGTTCATTGAGGACTACATAGAACCTTTAGTTTCAGGAACGATGGAACTGACGGATGGAGAATACTTTCATTTTTGCAAATCTTTATTATTTGAATAATCTCTGTTACGAGTTACCGTATTTTTCGTCCCATAGGACGCTCCGTCCCATAGGACGCACCTACTTTTTTGGGGGGGAAATAAAGGAAATTTTTTTCCCTTTATTTCCCCCCCAAAACCAGGTCGGGAAACAGTGGGATGGCGGTGCTGCGCCTCCCCGCTGTCCCCCGAGCTTGTGGGGCTGGCCAATGTCTGCCCGGCGCGAGGGGCACGCTGCTTCAGGGCGCCCCACGCGTCGGGCGGCAGGCTGCAATCCGCAGCATGGGGATGTCTGCCCGGCGCGAGGGGCGCTCTGCTTCAGGGCGCCCCACGCGCCGGGCGGCAGGCTGCGGACACCTGCGCGAAGCACGGGGCGTCCTCCGGAGGGCGCCCGTGCTCCGCGCTGCAGGCTGCCGCCTGCAAGCCTTGCGCGCCCGGGGGAACTCCGGGGGGAACTCCCCCCGGGTGCGCAAGGCTTGCGGATAGCTTCCTGGAGCCTGGAGAGTGAGAGGTGTCGGTGCGCACCGACGCCTCTCGCTCTCCAGGCTTCAGCGAAAGCCTGCATTCGCCCCATAGGACGCACACACATTTCCCCTTCATTTTTGGAGGGGGAAAAGTGCGTCCTATAGGGCGAAAAATACGGTAATACTTTTCGATCCCTTTTGGAGGTGTGCTGCGTCTTTGTCCTTTTGTCCTTCCAGACTATGGTTTTGAATTTTGATTCCCTGTTTTCTTTCTTTCTGCTATGTTTGCACTTTTCTTTTTATAACAAATCAATGATTTTTATTTTTTTCCTGATCCTTTGTTTTGCACGCCAAGAGTGGAACTTGGATGGAGTTGGGGGGACAGGACGACGACGGCGACTGATGCCTGCAATGCCTGTCCTCTCTCTCTCTCTCTCTCTCTCTCTTGTCTGGTCTCTTCTGAACGCTGCCCCATCTCCTGAGTGTCTCTGGGATCCTTGCCAGATCTTGTACCACTGTTTGTTTTGTTGTGGTTTCAGTAGGAGCCACCGAGTCGGCAGCTTCTCCCCAAGGTCCCAGTTACTCCATCGGTTGCAGCAGCGAACCTGACATGCAGAGGCATTCGGCTCTCTCGGCTGCGTGCGGCTGATTCCTTGCTTTGCCACAGACTTTCCCTTCTAAATTGGCATGTTTTTGGTCCTCCAGCAGCTGGAAACCTTGGGCTGATTCTGGGCCTATCCTGAGAGTTTTTGGGTGAAATAAGCTGTGGGAGCTTTCTTGTGCCACCCACCATTGAGGCTTTGAGAATTTCTGCCTGCCTTTATTTATATATTTTTTTAATTAATTTTTTAACATATCATTTCCTTTTTTTAAAAAAATTAGTTTTTTAAACATATCATTTCTTTCCAACAATCATATAACATAACTTCTTATCTTATACAATATTTTAGACTTCCGTCAACACCTCTGATGATTTCCCGTTCTTTATCACTTATTCTGCATTTCTTAATTTATCTATTACTCTTAATTATCATTAACTAATAATTCTCCTCATCAACTTTCTTGCAATATTTCAAATAATCATCCTTACAAAACTTCTTGCAATCCTACTAGCGTAATCTGTTCATTACAATTACTTTTCAAATAGTTCGTATATTTACTCCAGTCTTCTAAGAATCTCTAATCCCACAGGTTTCGAATCCTTCCTGTTAATTTATCCAATTCTGCATAGTCCATCCATTTCATCCGCCATTCTTCTTTTGTCGGTAATTCTTCTTGCTTCCATTTCTGTGCCAATAATATTCTTGCTGCCGTTGTTGCGTATAAAAACAATTTGCTATCCTGTCTCTTAGTGTCCTCCCCTACAATGCCAAGTAAAAATTCCTGCTTTCCTTTAAAAGGAAAAAAAGTTCTCCAACTGGAGCGCTCGCAGGCCAGTGTTTCCCATTTGTCAGTGGTTGTACTTAGATTTGCCTTGAGAGAGTCTTTGAACCTCTGTTGCTGACCACCAGCATTACACTTTCAATTTTTAAGCTAGGAATGGCGTAGTTGCTTTGGAAGACTATCATCAGGCATCCGCACAACATGGCCAGTCCAACAAAGTTGATGTTGAAGAATCATTGCTTCAAACCTGGTGACCTTTGCTTCTTCCAGTACACTGGCATTAGTTCACCTGTCTTGTTGATCCATCTAGCTCAGCATTGTCTACACTGGCAGGCAGCCTCAGAACATAAGAAAAGCTTGCCAGGTCAGGGAAATGATGCTGCCACACTAAAAGAGCTCTCTCTCTCTCTCTCTCTCTCTCTCTCTCTCTCTCTCTCTGGGCCCTTTTAGTATTGTGTACGGTTTTCAAAAATTGTGCTCCCTTTGTATTTATGGCAATCCTGTGTCGAACATCTTTGGAAGTTGCTTTGTAAAAAGCAATGGATGAAAAGCTAAACGATAGGAAAGGTAGCATAGAGGCATCCCAGCTGCCTCTTAACGGTCCATAGATGGGGCCTTGGACGGATCCGGCCCCTGTAATAGCAAGGGGCCAATCTCTCCAATCCTCCAATCTCTGCGCTTCAGCCCATCTGCGGGAAGGCCATTTGGTAAACCTTTGACTACCAAGCACACTGAGTGTGGCTTTGTGGGAAGCTGAATTCTGAGTTTTTTTTAAAAAAAACAGAGCAAGAGGGATAATAACTCCTTGATTAATTACAAGGTCCTTTGAACCTGATCCCAGGCAAAGTAATGGGAAATTAATAAAGATATTTTGACCAGGCATTTTAATCAACACGTTGAACACAGTTTAATGAACACGATTAGAGCAAAACGTCTCATCTATTATTTTATTAAATAAAGACCCCGTTTAGTGTAGTTTCTGGTTTCTGTCTTCCCTGCCCAAGGGGTGGGTGAGCTTGTATAGAATCCACAGACTTTGGGCAAGGAGGGTCCTGGGAGGGGGTCCCGTGAATGATGCTGCCTGGCACCAAGGTCAGGATGGCATCTCTCCCTCCCCCCCCCCCCCGATTCCAGGGACAGAAGCCAAGCAGGGCTGGCAGTCGAATGTTCCTCCAGCTTCCTCCGAAGGGATGCGGGTGGCGCTGTGGTCTAAACTACTGAGCCTCTTGCGCTTGCCGATCGGAAGGTCGGCAGTTCAAATCCCCACAACGGAGTGAGTTCCCGTTGCTCTGTCCCAGCTCCTGCCAACTTAGCAGTTCGAAAGCACACCAGCACAAGTAGATAAATAGGTACCACTGTGGCAGGAAGGTAAACGGTGTTCTGTGCGCTCTGGCTTCTGTTACGGTGTCCCATTGCGCCAGAAGCCGTTTAGTCCTGCTGGCCACTTGACCCAGAAGAACTGTCTGCAAACAAACGCAGGCTCCCTTGGCCTGTAAAGCGAGATGAGCGCCGCAACCCCAGAGTCGTCTGCGACTGGACTTAACTGTCAGGGGTCCTTTACCTTTAAAGCTCTTAGGGATGCGGGTGGCGCTGTGGTCTAAACCACTGAGCCTCTTGGGCTTGTCAATTGGAAGGTCGGCAGTTTGAATCCCTGTGAGGGGGTGAGCTCTCGTTGCTCTGTCCCAGCTCCTGCCAACCTAGCAGTTCGAAAGCACACAGTGCAAGTAGATAAATAGATACCGCTGCGGCAGGAAGGTAAACGGCGTTTCCATGCACTCTGGTTTCCGACACTGTGTCCTGTTGTGCCAGAAGTGGTTTAGTCCTGCTGGTCACATGACCCAGAAAGCTGCCTGTGGACAAACACCAGCTCCCTCGGCCTGAAAGCGAGATGAGCGCCACAACCCCAGCATCGCCTTTGACTGGACTTCACTGTCCAGGGGTCCTTTACCTTTACCTTTACCTTTACCAACTTCCTCCAGTTGGGGCTTGCAGCTGGAACCTTCTGCAGGCCACGCAGCTGCTGTTCCACTGAGCTCCTCTCCACTAGTAGTAGTCTACTATGTCTTGGTGCACAGCTGCTGTATCGCTTAAAAACCTTTTTCCAAGAGGTATCCATGCTCACTCCGCAGACCTTCTGAATGCAAAGCAGGGGAGCAGATATTCATTTCTGACGCCTGAACCTACTTTCTTTCCTAATTTGTTTATTTGCTTTTCAAATCAAAGTTTTACTTTGTGTAAAAGAGGAAAATTTGCTAGAACTGAAAGTAAGTCAGACAACAGGGAGAAACTTTAGGCAAGGGCAAATTTAAGGAATTTAATCAGGGAACACAATGGGAGAATTGGAGGTCAAGCTAAATTGAATCACAAAACAGTGTATGAAGCAGGTATCAGTTAAGGAATGAAAGATTGTATACTTTTATTTTTATTTTGTGCTTAACAACAATTGATCATCTTTGTTATGTTATGCAATTTTCAACCAATAAAGCATTTATTTAAAAAAATAAATCAAAGTTTTACAATCACATATCCAATATATAACACAGAAACTAGATTCCAAGGAATCTCCTGGACTTCCCCCCTCCCCTTTGTGGGTCCTGTTGTGAATCATTTCCTCCTGCATCTTTTATAATAATCCAAATCTTTCCATCTCCATTATGTCCAAAATTCACCATTAAACTACAAGTGTTATTCTGGTCCTGCTAACAGTTTACAATGGTTTTTAAGATAAATTATACATTTTTCCCATTCCTTATTGAAATTTTGGTCTTCTTGATTTCTGATTCTTCCTGTCATTTTAGCCATTTCGGCATAAATCCGTCTGCCATTCTTCTCTGTGTAGGAATATTTATCTTCTTTCTACCTCTGGGCCAATAACATCCATGCAGCTGTGGTCGCATACATCAATATTTTTTTCTGCTCTCTTGGGGTTTTGGCACCTAGAATTCCTTTTTTAAAAAAAGGTTCGGTTTTTTAATGAAAAAGTTATGCATTTTAAACATCCCCCCCAACTAATTTCAACCCCCCCTTTTTTTGTCTGCCTCTCCTTTGGCTTTCCAGACATCCCTCCTCCTGAAGGGAGAACCCGCGAGTGTCTGATGTGCATCGTGCAAAGAGACGGCTCCAAAACGATGCTGTGTGCCGAAAGCGAGGACGACGCTGTGTAAGTTGCTGCAATAACAATCCCATTTTACAGGTGGACAATTGAGGCCAAGACTTGCCCATGGCTGCTCAGTTAATATAAGTTAGTATTAAATATTCCACGTTTCATATAGTTGTTATTGTTATGGATTGTTCCCCCCTTCGCCCCAAGGGTCCAGGGTAGGTTCCAGCATTAAAAATAGTTTAAAACAACTTGCGGCCGTGAAGATAAGGTGAGTCCTTAAAGCACACACCTTAACCACCTTCACCAGCCTCTGAAAAAATACAGTGAAGGTGCCAGATGCATCTCTGTGAGGAGTTACACGGTTTAGGGGCTGCCACAGAGAAGGCCATGTCCCCCTGGGCTACAGTCAGGAGTTCAGCCCACACTCGAGTAGGACACTGGCAGAGACACATGCCCGACTGGCATGTTCCCTCCCTCCTGGTCTTTCATTCGGGAACTTCAAAAGCTTTCTTCTGCCCGAACATCACAGCGACTGATGCCAACAGACACACTTAGGGACCCGCAGAGTTTGCACAACTTGCAAGTGACAGACCTCAGCAACTCAGCATTTTGGCTAATCTACTTTATTTACATATAAACACACACGGAGCACTGCAACATGGCTCTGTCTCTCTCTCGCATCAGACAGCAAAGAGAGAAAGAACAAAGGACAATAGTCCCACTTCACGGAACACAGTAACACAAACATCCTGTCTCCGTCACTTCCCACTCTGTGGAGTCAAAACATATACTATCATGTGATAGACAACAATCCCATGACTGCAATCACAGAGCAGGAATTCTAACATCCTCCCCCAAGCCTCTGAGGGCACAGGAACTACCAAGAAGACCCCCCTCTGCCGATCCCAGCACCTGAGAGGATCTGTAGGGAAGGAATCAAAGAATTGTAGAATAGGAAGGGACCTTAGGGTCATCTAGTCCAACCCCCTGCAATGCAGGAATCTCAGTGAAAAAATCCATGGCAGGAGGAAGAGGCCTTTCAGATATTTGCAGCCTGGGTCAATTAGGACTTCAAACACCAATGCGAGCCCCTGGAATTGGACCTGGAAACGAGCCAACGACCAATACAGATTAAGAACTTAATTAATTCTGGAGGTCTGTTCTTAACCTGAAACTGTTTTTAACCTGAGGTACCACTTTATAGCTAATGGGGCCTCCCGCTGCCGCCTCGCGATTTCTGTTCTCATCCTGAAGCAAAGTTTTTAACCCGAGGTACTATTTCTGGGTTAGCAGAGTCTGTAACCTGAAGTGTCTGTAACCTGAGGTACCACTGTACGTATTAATTAATACTGTTAAATATGGGAGCTAAGAAGGGGGAAATGGGTCTGCAGCCCTCTTTCCTCCACAATGTCCCGTGACTCTGGTTCCATGATCTGTAAAATGGGAACAGACGGGCTCTACTGTCAAACAATCGCCGGCCACTGAAGCCTGAGAAAACTGCTGGAAAGGGCTTCCTTGGGATGAAGTGAGGCTGTAGCGTTGGAGCTGGGACTACAAATCCCATGATTCCTGACCATTGGCTGGGCTTTTTGCAGGGGCTGCTGGGAGCTGGAACCCAGGGCAGTGGGGAGGGGAGAGATGCCCCAGTTCTCTGCCCCTGAGCTTTTGGAGCATCACTTCCTTCCTTCCTGTCTCTGAGATCCAGCCGACTAAAGGTTTGCCACCAGCCCTTGTTAATGATGTTTACTCTTGATCCCGGTGCTGCTGCCTCCATGCCTTGGGGAGCACTGTTTGGAAACAAACCGGCTTCCTCCGGGGATCTGGTAGCTCTTGAAAGATTTCCACCTCCTCACATCAGCTGCTGTGTTTACAAACTGGAGGGCGACTGCGTTTCTCCGAGGCTCCCCTGGCAACAGACCGGTCGGAAATATTCCCCTGCAGATTCATGCAGTGTGCGGAAATGCAAGCTGTTCAGACTTAAAGCATGCCGAGGGTCCCGGGTTCAAGTCCTGACATTTCCAGGGGAGACTTTTGAGGCCCTGGAGAGCTGTTGGCAGACACTGTAGACAATACTGAGTTAGGTGGATCTCTTGTAATCCTTGTGATCACTGTATATGTAGGACCAGGTGAAGCCTGTGGGGTCCAGCAGTGGTAGAGGTGGGGTGGTGTACGCAGGGGTCAGCAAACTTTTTCAGCAGGGGGCCGGTCCCCTGTCCCTCAGACCTTGTGGGGGGCCGGACTATATTTTGAAGGGGAAAAAATGAATGAATTCCTATGCCCCACAAATAACCCAGAGATGCATTTTAAATAAAAGCACACATTCTACTCATGTAAAAACACGCTGATTCCCGGACAGTCCATGGGCTGGATCTAGAAGGCAATTGGGCCGGATCCAGCCCCCAGGCCTTAGTTTGCCTATCCATGGTCTATACAGAGGGTCGGACTAGGAGCTGGTGGAGACCAGGGTTCAAACAGGTTGGAGTTGGGCCCAAGCTAACAAAATGAATTTCAGTAGGGACATATGTAAGGTTCTGCACTTAGACAGGAAGAAACAGATGTCAAAATATACGATGGGGCACACCTGGCTTACTAGCAGTACAGTGGTACCTTGGGTTAAGTACTTAATTCGTTCTGGAGGTCCGTTCTTAACCTGAAACTGTTCTTAACCTGAAGCAGCACTTTAGCTAATTGGGCCTCCCGCTGCCGCGGGGCCGCGATTTCCGTTCTCATCCTGCAGCAAACGTCTTAACCTGAGGTACTATTTCTGGGTTAGCTTAGTCTGTAACCTGAAGCGTCTGTAAGCTGAGGCATATGTAAGTGAGGTACCACTGTACATGTGAAAGGAATCTGGGGGTCTTGGTGGACCATAAGCTTAGCATGAATCAACAGTGTGATGCAGCAACAAAAAAGGCTAATGCTATTCTAGGTAAAGGTAAAGGGACCCCTGACCATTAGGTCCAGTCGCGGACAACTCTGGGGTTGCAGCACTCATCTCGCTTTACTGGCCAAGGGAGCCGGTGTACAGCTTCCGGGTCATGTGGCCAGCAGGACTAAGCCGCTTCTGGCGAACCAGAGCAGCGTGCGGAAACACCGTTTACCTTCCCGCCGGAGCGGTACCTATTTATCTACTTGCACTTTGACATGCTTTCAAACAGCTAGGTTGGCAGGAGCAGGGACCAAACAACCAGAGCTTACTCCGTCGTGGGGATTCGAACCGCCGACCTTCTGATTGGCAAGCCCTACGCCCTGTGATTTAGACCACAGCGCCACCCGCGTCCCTAATACTATTCTAGGCTGCATCAAAAGAAGTCTAGTGTCCGTATCAAGGGAAGTAACAGTCCCACTCTATTCTGCCTCAGGCAGACCAGACGTGGAATGCTGTGTCCAAGTTCTGGGCACCACAATTTAAGAAGGATGTTGACAAGCTGGAATGCCTGCAACCAAGATGATCCAGGGTCTGGTACCTGAGGAGCACTTGAAGGAGCTGGGTATGTTGAACCTGGAAGAGAGGAGACGGAGAGGAGATAGGAGAGCCATCTTCAAATGCCTAAATTGCTGTCACATGGAAGAGCGAACAAGCTTGTTTTCTCCTGCTCTGGAGGGCAGGACTCGAACCCGTGGCTTCGAGTCACAAGAAAGGCAATTCAGACTAAACATGAGGAAGAGCTCTCTGATGGAAAGAGCTGTTTAACAGCAGAACAGACCCCCTCAGGAGGTTGTGGGCTCTCCTTAGAGGTTTTTAAGCAGAGGTTGGATGGACACCTGTCATGTATGATCTAGTTGAGATTCCTGCATTGGAGCGGGTTGGACTAGATGACCCGCAGTGTCCCTTCCAACTCTGTAATTCTGTGAAACCCATGGAGCTCCCTGGGTGACCTTGGGCCAGCCCTTACTTCTCAGCCCTAACTTGCCTCACAGGGTCATTGTGAGTGTTAGATGAGTAGGGGGAGAACCACGTCCGCCACATTTGAGCTCCTTGGAAGGAAGAGTTGGGTTGTAAATTCAATAAGTTCAATTGGAGAGACATTAGTAGTGTCATGTCCATCTGGGCCTTGACCGAAGGCCACCGGTTATTTCCCAGCTGCTTAGCAGAGCAACTTGGGCAGATAATTAAAGATGACTTGAGCGCGTCAAGGGCCGCAGAGGTCAGAGAAGGGCCAGAACAACCCCAGCTTAGCTGGAACAGGGTCATTTGCTGAAGTGATGGTCCCCCTGCAAAATCCAATTAGAAAAAATCCCTGGCCAGTGAAGGCAGTAAGAATATTATTGGCACAAAAATGGAAGCAAGAAGAATTACCGACGAAAGGAGAATGGCGGATGAAATGGATGGACTATGCAGAAGTGGATAAAGTAACAGGAAGGATTCGAAACCTGCGGGACCAGAGATTCTTAGAAGACTGGAGTAAATATACGAACTATTTGAAAAGTAATTGTAATGAACAGATTACGCCGGTAGGATTGTAAGAAGTTTTGTAAGGATGATTATTTGAAATATTGCAAGAAAGACTATGAGGAGAATTATTAGTTAATGATAATAATAATTTATTTATTACAGTCAAAGACCAGCTCACATAACATAACACAATAAAAACAGCATTCATAAAGATAAAATATACAATCGGAGCAGATTGCAGCAATAGCTCATGAGTTAAAATTGAGATATATATACACACATACAACTGAGATTTGGGCTACCATGAAAATTGACCCTGAGGCGCCCCAAAGGGCAACTTCAGCATTTCCCTAGTAAGCTATTTTATTCTAGAGGATGATCTGTGCCTACAAATCTCGGCGCAGAATCTGGCTACCGGCCAGGTCCTCTTGTGATCTTCGCCTAAGAGGAGAGAATTAAGTTTAGACTTGTCTGAAAGATCGGCAGCCTCTTCAGCAAAGGATCAATGGTGTCTCTACGAATATCAGCATAAAAAGGACATCTAGAAAATATATGTTTGAGGCGTCCTATTTCCCCTAATGGGCAGGCGCAAAGTCTCTGTGCGTATGGGACCCTTCTATAGGAGCCTTCAGGAACCGATGAGGGCAAGGCCGAGCTTCTAGCA